CAGAGGCATGAGTCTGCAGAGGCCTCCAATTTGGTGCCGCTGAAACTCCCGCCGCCTCCCCAAAACCTGCACAGAAACGCGTTTGTGGTCTTCAAATTACCAAACCTGACATTTGCAAAAAGTGTCTGAAAGTCAGGCTGCTTTTCTCAGTGAAACTACTCACACACACACACACACACACACATGACAGAGAGGGTTTTAGTGAGTGGGAAGAAAGAGTTCTGCAGACGGAGAGCGGGGGGGCTCTGTGGATCCTCCTCTGACGGAGATAAATAAAACCTATGGCGGTTTAAAAGATTTACATACGGCAGATAAATCGGTTTGTTGTCATAAAAAGCATCTTTGTTTCAAGTGATTCATGAATGAGAGGTTATTTTTTTTAACCTCTTTTATGAGATAAAAATAACTCCATTGGCTGGTTCAGATCATAGAGATTTTAAAAAAAAAGTATTATATTTTTTTCCTTTTCTAAAACGTGTTTTGGTCACAACTTTGACTCTTTCCTCACACAATTAAGACTTTTAATTGAACTCTTTTGTTGGGTTTCAGCAACTTCCGACGCGTCTGAATCTTGCCTCTGACTAAAAATCATCCAATTTTCATTGAACTTAACATTAATTTAGCTCACCATTCTTTGTTGTTATCGAATAGTTTTCAAATTCCTAATAATACACAACAAAGCTAAGTCTCCATGACATTATGAGATAAATAAGAATAAAAAACACAGGACTTTCCTCTCTGTTAATCGTTTTGGGTTTCTTTCCACAGAGCACTGGTGTATTAATCTGCTTTAACCTGGTTCCGGAACTCTGAGTTGTGCCGATGAGCTCAATTTTTTTGCAGTTTTGACACCTCTGACTGCGTCAGACTGCCGTTCAAATGTAAAACACGCGTGGAAGTTTGTCCAAATTGTTGATTTCTGTGCTGAAATGACAGGTGGAGGAACTCTGGAAATGGTCAGATGGACTATAAACTGAAATTTAGTCCATTTCTCCCTGGAGATCAATAAAGTATATTCAATTCAATTCAATTCAAATCCTGCTTGGATATGATGTTTCCTCCAGACTAATAAAGTCCTCCATGTGGTTAGCGGGTCACCCCCCAGCCTGTGAAGAGTGTGTGTGCACGGTTAACTGTGCATGCACCTGTCAGCAGGAACGGCTCTTGTGGACAAAAATCCCATAAATTTGTGTTATTTATGCCGTGAACTCTTTTTTCCAGGGCTGAAAACAGCAGAATCGGCACAAAACGTCAGTAAAACGACCCCCCCAGAGGCCACCTCTCCTCCTTCCACTGCCCCCACGGTCTCCTCGACCACTTCATCCTCCACCCCCAGCAGTCCTGGACCCATCCTGGGCCTCCTCACAGTCTCGTGGTCAGCTAAATGTAAAGGCACCGTCCAGCTCATCCCGTACCCCCCCCTGGACGGCGCCCCCCTGCCGCTGTGCCACAACCCCGGCGAGGCCGTCCTCAACTTCCTGGAGAGGGTGTGTCGGGGTAAAGATGGCTGCCAGCACCACGAACGCTGGCTGGACTCCGAGGGGAGCCAGGCCCAGGGATACCAGGTGACCGAGGGGGGGGCCAGGCTGACCACGGCGTGCCGGCCACTCCGAGTCAAATGCAAAGGTCAGTCATCTGGTTTTCTGTTTGAGTTTCACATTCAATACAACAAACATATTCAACGTTAGCAAAGAAAGTCTGACTGGAGAATGAAATCAGAGTGTTTTTTAACCCTTTAAAGCCTGATCCAAGAATAAAACAAAACAGAAGATTTGAATTCCTTATTTGGCCTTTTAACAAAATATGTAAAAAGAAAAAAGAAAAATACATTTTTTATATTAATAATTTATTACTATGCCATAAATCAAGATTATTTTTTGTGTAGTCTTCTGCCCCCTGTTATCAGGTGTATCTGATTGTGTACAATAGGATTTTGAGCAAAGTTTTTACCATTAAATTATGCAAAAGGAGTCAGATGCAAAACATTTTTAGAAACCGTATGGATCAAATATGATACATTTGGCATTATAGGGATAAAGAAAACTCATTAAGATGAGGACACTTTGGGGCCAGTCAGCTCTCAGGAAACCACAGGTCTTAGTTCTTCCTCCCTCAGATGGCGGGTTGCTTCTGTCTCTGACCATAAAATAGAGCGTTTGTACCAACATGAATCACTCAGATGGTTTTCTGGGTTACAGATCAATTCTTTTTTATCTTTTTCAGACCAATCATTGTTTTAATGCATCAATCCTGGCTAAAAAGCCGTCTCCAGACATTCAGACCCGGTGGCTGGATAGTGTTTTCTTGACATTAAAATATCCCTGGACACTCCGGGTATACAGATAAAGCACAGTAAAAGCTAATATTCTTTTACTAGCTGTAATGGCTATGCTTTAGCTACACATTTCATAGCTAGCCGCGACCAAAAACCAGTACTAGAAACTTAACTCAGTCTGAGATCTGGATGCAGTGTGCTAAGGGGAACAACTGCTAATACAGTTAATTCAATTCAATTCAATTCATTTTTATTTTTATAGCGCCACATCACAACAACAGTTGTCTCACAGCGCTTTCCAAACAGAGCAGGTCAGATCCTACTCTGAAGTTAATTACAGAAACCCAACAATTCCCACCATGAGCAAGCACTAGGCGACACAGGCAAGGAAAAACTTCCTTTTAACAGGCAGAAACCTCAAGCAGAACCATGGCTCAGGGTGGGCGGCCATCTGCCTCCCAGAATCTAAACTAGAGAGACGGACATTTTTAGAGCCAGAACCAAGCTAAAGGCTGGGGAACGGGGGGAGGCGGGGGAGTCAAATGTAAAAAGCAGAGCTCAGGATTGTAGCTTACCAAGGACTGCTGCGATAGGAAGAAAGATGGTCCATTTAAGCTTTGTTTGACTCTAATTGGCCCTGATTTTGCTATGAAAACAGCTTGGACGTAGTCCAGCTTTGACTTAAATACAGGGTCAGTTACTGTACGGTGAAGCCATCTGTTAAAAAAAAGGCTCCCACCAGTTGACCCATTAAATCTTTAACCCTGACACCTTTTTCTGGAAATGAGTCACTGTATGATTGAGATGGTGTGAGCTGTCCTCAGAGGCTCCAGAGCTGCAGGCCGCCGTGCGTGAGCGCGCTCAGATTTTTGTGTGTGCACGTTTTAGAGCGCGCTGAGGAGGGGACGGGTCAGCTGCGGGCCTTCAAAGTGTTGACCGCTCTGCTCTGCTGCGTGCTGCTGGTCATCCTGCTAATCCGCTTCACCAGACCCACCGTCAGAGCCCTGCAGAAGAGACGTGAGCCTACGTACACACACACACACTCACACACACACATACGTGTTTTCATTATATACAAGGACACATGTCAGAAATAGGACAAATGTTTAGGTGGCTTTCCCAAGGTTTTTTAGGACAATAGAGATATTTGGTTTAGAGGTATTTTTGGGGCTTCTAGAACACTCTAGTATGCTCAGAAAAATGAGGACATGAAAAGTGTCCTCATATTTGTGTATTCACAAAATTGTCCTGATATATCATGAAAACAAACACACACACACACACACACACACGCACACACTCTGTCTCAACTCAACTCAAACTTTATCTATAAAGCACATTAAAAAGTGCTGTACAGATATCACAGTTGCAGGAAATAAGGTACAAACTAAAAAGCTAAAATACATAAACACATTGCAATAAAATAGAATGAAAATGAATTAGAATAAAATAAGTTAAAATGTAAATAAATAAAAAATAAAAAAAATGTAAATGCACACTGTGCATTTATCTGACCTCAACGTGATGTTTTACATTAAAATAAATTAAATCAGGCAGAAGATGAATTAGTAAATGTCCAAGAATCCAAATTGAGATAGAAAAAGACTAGAATAATTGGAATTAGAATTAGAAGCCTTTATTGTCATTATACATGCGTACAACGTGATTTGGATTTTTTATTTTTTTATTTTTTAGAATTAGAATAAGAAAGCATAAAAGAGCATTTAGGAGAATCGATTAGCTTAAATATATTTGAATGTGTGGAGGGAGATTTGAGCTGCTCTGAGAGGAGACTCTATAAGGAGAACCACTCCGTTTCTGAATGGGTTATTTTCCTTTTTAACAGGAAACCCAGGAAACCTTTCTAACCGAAACAGTCACAACAAAAAAAAAAAATTCAACACTCACAGTTTTAGCCGACACTTAACCCTTTAAAGCCTGATCCAAGAAAAATAGGAAGAATATTGGATTTTGTCTATAGTCTTTCTTTGGCCCCTCAACAACATATGAAGAAAAAAAAACAGAAATTATCTTAATCAAATTAGCGTGCAATAAGTCAAAAATATATTCCGGTGTAGTCTTCTACTGGTTGTTATCAGGCATATCTGAATGTGTAAAACAGGGGTTTGAGCAAAACTTTTACCACTGAATGATGCAAAAAGTCTCAGATCCAAAAGACTTCAGAAACCGTACGTATCAGATATGACACATTTGGCATTATAGAGGTAACCAGCTCTGAGTTTTTCCACAAAGGTGTGACAGAATCCTGAGAACGGACTCTGCTGCTGTGTTTCAGTGTCGGACAAAAGGCAGACGCGCTGGATCGGACCCACGCAGAGCCACAGTGGTGAGGGGCTCCCTATTCCAGTGTTTTTCAACCACTGTGCCTCGGTACACTAGTGTGCGGTCAGTGATGGTCAGGTGTGCCGTAGAAAATCATCCTATTTCACCTCATTGGTCTAAAAAGATTTTTTGATAAGGAATTAATTATCTGCAAATAATTTTTGAGTGTCTGTGCTGTTCTAGTGACCGGTTGAAATAATCATGTAATAATTCCTTATGACTAGATTTTGTATATAATTTTGCATATTGAAGTGGACATGTTAAGTGCAATTTGAAAGAAGAAATATAAAATAAGATAAAAATACATTTTTGTGTTTATTTGATTCCTATTCAAGACACTTAAGATAAGATAAGAATAAAATAAGAATAACTATAGTGTTACTATAGATTTGTTTGACATTTTTGGTTGGTGGTGTGCCTCGAGATTTTTTTCACTGAAAAAATGTACCTTGGGTAAAAAAAAGGTTGAAAAACACTGAGCTATTCTAACACCACAAAACCCACAAAAACAGCAGAGAAAAACCTGCCGGTCCCATCGGCCTGATGGGACGGCCCAACTGTCCCACTCAGAGCTGTGGGACGGACGGCTAATCGGTCATTTTGGACTAGCGTAAAGGTCAAATAGGGAAAATAGGGAAATTACAAAGTCCCCAGAAACTAGTTGGTTTTTCGGGTTGTTTCCGGAAGAACAAACCGTTTGCTCTCCTGGTTAACGGTGGAGTTCAGGTCAGCTTAAAATACAACAACATGTATTAAAAACACTTTCTATTCTTTTCAACCTGTTTTCTTATTGAACAAAATGATCAGATGTGGTCAGCTTCTTTCTTATGTGACCAGTTCAGCTAACGGTGGTCAGATGATGCCACCATGTCCAAAATCAAAGGCCTTAAAAAGAACTTATTAGAAGTTATTTATCCTGCATTCAGCTATTGGAATAATTTCCCACTGAATATACAGGACTGTCTCAGAAAATTAGAATATTGTGATGAAGTTCTTTATTTTCTGTAATGCAATTAAAAAACATGAAATGTCACACATTCTGGATTCATTACAAATCAACTGAAATATCGCAAGCCTTTTATTGTTTTAACATAGCTGATTATGGCTTACGGCTTAAGAAACCCAAATATCCTATCTCAAAATATTAGAATATCGGATTTTTTAGTTGTCTTCAGCTGTACGCCATAATCAGCTGTATTAAAACAATAAAAGGCTTGCGATATTTCAGTTGATTTGTAATGAATCCAGAATGTATGACATTTCACGTTTTTTAATTGCATTACAGAAAATAAAGAACTTTATCACCATATTCTAATTTTCTGAGACAGTCCTGTACATGAACTGAATAGTAAAATATCTTTTAATTATTACTTGTGAATGCACAATTCAAATTTGTGAGTAGTGAATTAACATATTTACTGCATAAAAGTGAGAATTAATGTAATAGATGTGAATGTGATAACTTATTCAGAATGATTTCTGATGACATCTATAAGATTGTCTAGAATTTTTAACTGTTATCTGATGTTTGTTTTGTCTTGTGGACCCCAGTTTGGTGGTCCCACTTTTGGTGATAGCTGATGGGGATTTTTTCAGGGCCTTTTTTACCGTTTCATCTCATTTGTGTTGCATCCCTGGTGTGGACTTAGTCAGGTTTTTGTGACTCCACAAGATTTAATATCTTTAATTTGGTTTATTGGCTCAAAAACATTTTGTTTTAGTCCCTATAATGAAACGGTTGCTTAGCGTTGGGATCTCAACCTGCCTTTGGTTTCTGTCACCATAGTAGAATATTAGAAAAGTCATCACTACTATTCTTCTTTCTTTCCTTTTATGACTCCTTAGTGTCCTACCATCGAGGGAACGCTGCAGTCAAAGGCGGAGACGGAGAAAAGAGGCTTTCTTACCCAGGTAACAGAGAGTTTATGAATCCATCTGTTTGGTTTTTCCTCTTTTTCTAGTCCAGCATTCAGAGCCTGGAAGACTTTTTTTAAATTTTATTTTTATAAATTTTATTTTAAGTTTTCAAGGTTTAAAACATACAGAAAAACAAACAGATAAAACCCAGATGCACAGGTCAAACATAAAACATTCCAGTTGACAAATGGTGTACACACACAACAAATGCATACAAAGTCATATACATGGGAATGCATGCGGCCATTAAGGTGAGACAGAACTTGGTGTTCAACTTAGTCTATTCTGTGAAAAGTGTTCCAGGAAGGGATTCCAGTAGCATGAAAATGTGTCTTTAGAGCCTTTGCGAAGTCTTTCCATCTGCATAATCAGTTTTGGGGAGTAACGGATTACATGTAACGACGTTACGTAATTTAATTACAAAAAAAGAGTAACTGTAATTCGTTACAGTTACAATGAGAAAATATGTAATTCAGTTACAGTTACTTCCGAAAAAATGAAGAATTACAAATTTAGTTACATTCTTTTAAAAATATAAAGAAAAACCTTTGCAAAATATGCAACTCACTGATAGAGGAAGCGTATTGATTTACTAATATTTGACTGTTTGGTGTTGATGCATGACAAACGTTTATCGATGTCTATGACCTAGCCTAGCCTAGCCTAGCCTAGCCTAGCATACCCAACTGTAGGTGACCAGACGTCCTCTTTTTCCCGGACATGTCCTACATTTCAGACTAGGGTTGTATAATATTGTAAATGTTGTATCCGGATACGACTGACTTGTCTCCGATTTATTTATGTATTTATTTACGTTGTTTATGATCATTAACGTGACGTTAGCCTTGAACTGCTAGCTGCGGCCAATAGCTAATAATAACATGCTAAAATTAATCATGGGTCAATACTCATTAAAACCTTAAAGTAATCAAAAAGTAATCAAAAGTAATTAGTTACATTACTTTTTAAAAGTAATCGAAAAAGTTACACTACAATTACTTTTTAAACAAGGTAACTTGTAACTGTAACGGATTACATTTTTAAAGTAACTTACCCAACACTGTGCATAATGGACATCATGTCCGTCACCCAAAGGCGGAATGAGGGGGGGAACCGAGGACTTCCAGTCAGAGCCTGGAAGACTTTGAACCTATCCCGGTCACGTTGCTGTAGTTTTTCTAAGCGTGGCTGTTTCTCCACCAGCTCTGGAGCGGCTGACGGTGGGAGACATGGGCGATCCTTCCCTCAACAGGAACAGCGGCTACAGCTTCTAGCCGGCCCTCTTCCTGACCACCGGTCCTGACCACCGGTCCTGACCACCGTCGTCCTCCCCTGCGCTGTACATGCTTTTTAATTATCTCGTCAGATACTTGTGTAAAAACATCACTAAGCTCGTAAAGAAAATCGTCTGTCAGCTTTTTGGAAAAAAGGCCAAAGCGTGTGTACTTGTGCTTTTTTGCTGAGTCATGAAGATGTGTCTACTCAGCCGCATTTTTCAAAACGGGGTGTAGATTTAGTGTAGTTTTAGTCCTTTAGCTTTGGAAAGCCACTGGGTTTGGACTCAGGTTTACATCCTCAGACTTTTCCCCCAGTTTCTTGTCAACTTTCATCAAACACCATGAAGATACGACGATTAGCAATCCTAAAATTGGGGTCATTTAAATAAAAAAAAGAGCGTTTTCTAGTGAAGCTGCTCTTAGATTCATAGTCACTAGCTGGTTTCAGGCATCCATAACTTCAAATAGCTGAGAGGCAAGAGAATCTGCTTCAGAAACCGGGATCAGGAACTTTAATCTGATCATCGGAGTCATGACGCCACCTTTCTGTCATGTTTGAAAATGCAGCTTCTCTGGAAAAATGTGGCCTTCCGTGTTTTCTCGCTGAGGTGAAGACTTAATTTTCTTTTCTTTTCACGTAATGCACCAACATTCTCAATAAAAATCTCATGAGTTGTGTTGTCTTCTTTTGTCAGACAATCCTTGTGAGTCACACATGGTTTGTGTGGAGTTTAGTGGGTTTTTTGGTGTGTTTTCAGTTTCCTCTTTCACCCTCAGTTTGGTCATATTTTCTCTCCTGCTTTAAGCTTCTTTCCTCTGCATCTTTTATATGTTGTCTTTTTTTTTACTTGCTTTTGAACGAATATCCTTTTATTATTTTAAATAATGTTACTATATTTCAACATGTACAACTGAATTAAGTGAGTTTTATTTACAAAGCGTCAAAACACACCAAAGCACAGCCAGATTCAGAAGAATTAGAGGTGGATCACTCAACACAATCCAATAAAAATAAAATAATTAAATTAAAATTGTTCCAATTCATAGAGCCGGTTCTGTTTTATCTCTAAGGAAACCAAGAAATGACCTCAAAACTTCTCTTTAATCGAATCCCCATCCTGGGTTTACTAAAACCAGAATTAGGATGAAACCTCCTTCAGAACCAGGATAATAAAAACTTGTAGACATTAGAATGAAATTTATGCTTCAACCAAACAGCATTTTGACCAAAGACTTTATAAAACTTTCACAGTCAGGAAAGCAAGACCATAATCTGGGAGAGCATTGGTAGAAGAAAGGGGAGAGAAAGGAGGGAAAGGATGCAGACACAGACAAACAGGAAGTGCATATCAACTGTGAGAGAAAACCACAATCTGCTTTAAGTACCCACCTCAGTCTGTCACTCTCCTCTTCTCCCTGTTCTTTCTCTTTTTATGAAGCCGATATGTTCTCTTCTTTGGATGCACAGGACACAACCAATTCATCTAAATCTCAAATAGGAATCAGGAACGAAAACATGTGGACTCATAACTCATACAAGGATTGCACAAAACACACAAAAGACCGCCTGTAACACTTCTGTTGTTTTTCTGGATGGAAAACTTGTGACATGGTGGGAACTGTTGGAATTTCCCAAACATTTGTCACATATTTAGACAAATAGGGGAAAAATTTGTATTTATTCACTTATTTCTCATACTGATAAAATGATAATGACAGTAGTGAAAAATAAATGAATGTAATAAATAAATGAACGTATCATAAATAGGGGGAAAATGTGTATTTATTAACTTATTTCTCCTACTGATAAAATGATAATGACATTAGTGAAAATAAATGAATGTAATAAATAAATGAACGTATAATGATTAATAATTAAGGAATTTAATAAGCGAGAGTCGTTTTCAAATGATAATAAAAATAAGAATAATGGAAAAGTAATGTATTGGCAAAAATAAATTAAAAGAAGGGACATAATTCTTAATATTTAGGAAAGGTTCTTTATCAGTGGTTGACAGATTTTATGTAAACATAAAAAATAAAAAAAACATAAACTAAAAAAATTAAACAAATCTTGCGTGTTGCTTTTGGTTCATCGTCTCATCCTGCTTCTTAATTCCCGTTTTATAAGAGTTTGACTTCTATACACTTGAAATCAGCCCCAATTTTCACCGCTCTGCATGAGATGAAAAACACTTGAGAAAGAAAGGATGAAGGCAAGTTGTAGTCATAGCTGGCTTTAGGTTAAGTCTCCACAAAACAAATGTCAATCTATGATCTGTGTGTGTGTGCGTGTGTGTGTGTGTGTGTGTGTGTGTGTGTGGACATAGAGCAACAGAAGGGGCTTAGAAGACAATAGAACTAACACTAAAAGAGGAGATTAACAGAGGCGAGGGGGAAAAAAAAATTAAAGCATCAGAATTTCCCTTTAAAGACCACAAACAGCTTCCTCTGTACTCAGGATTTATGCTAGTTTTCATTCCGCATCCTCGTTATCACATCACATTACTCCTGTTACCTGAGCTACCATGTTTAAGATAGCATCTGTTCTCAAAGACACAAGAAGGAGCAGAGACAGGAAAATGAAACCATTATGAAATATAAGAGACTGTGTAGTCAATAAAGTACGAATGGTCTAATGTGTCTGTTTTTTTGCTCAGGTTAGTGGCATTTTGTGTTGTTTGGTTGATATTAACGGTGTGAAACTTAACGAACTGCCAGGAGAAACCGAAAAATCCAAGAACTGACTTGCTTTTTTTGACGAAGGCCTCAGAAATACATTATAAACCTCTTAAACGGGATCTAAATGAAGGAATCACCTGACAATACGATTGAAGGAGAATCAATAAATCACAACAGAGAGGAA